GAAATCAGGTCCCAGAGTGATAGCTTAGCGGCTAAAGTCCTTGCCTTGCACTTGCCAGGATCCCATATGGGCGCCGGTTCTAATTGCCTCAGCAACAGCCATTGTGGCTGCTTGGGGAGTGAATCATCAAACAGAAGATCTTTCTCTCCTCTCTGTGTATCTGACTTTGTAAAATAAATCTTTAAAAAGCCTGAAATTATATGAAATGTTTTTTCTAATCACAATGGAATGAAATTAGAAATCAAGAACTAAAGAAAAATGGTAAAATCCACAAATTCGTGAAAGTTAAACTGCACATCTTACACTACTTTCAAAGTTGTGATTTCAAAGAAAATAGAAGAAAAATTATAAAACACCTTGACACAGATGAAACCGAAAACACAATAAAGCATATGAGTGGTAAAGGTTGTACTGAAAGAGAAATTTCTAGCTGTACATGACTTTGTAAGAAAACTTCACAATTTTATACCTTAGGCAGTGGAAGAGCAAAAGACAGTGTAGAAGTAATAAAATCATAAATATTAGAGATTTCAAAAAAATAGATACGAAAAACCTCACAAGTTGGTTCTTTGTTAAGATAGTAAGACTGATAAACCTTTGGCTACAAAAAGGGGCCCAACTGTAAAAGTCAGAAGTGCAGGTGGGAATTTTACTGTGAACTTGCATACATACAGAGGATGAGAGATGTTAAGAACAATCGTATGTCAAATACAACACATCGATAACCTACATTAAGCATGTATCTCATTAAAACTGTTCCGCAACTAAAAAATCTAGTAAATCCTACCACTGTCAGGGATTGAAACAGTAATCAAAACCTCTCAAACAGAAAGGGTATTCATGACGATTTCTACTAAGCATGAAAAAGTTTAACAACAATCCTTCAAGCCCTTCAAAAAGCTGAAGGAACAGAAGCACTTTATACTTACTTCATTAAAGTTAACACTACCCTTATACCAAAGCTAAAGAAAGATACAGAAAATGAAAATGCATAACAATTTCCATCATGAGTATTTATATCAAAATCCTCAACAAAGTACTACTACAGAATCCAGCAACATGTAAAAGGATTGTACACCATGATCAGCTGGAATTTATTCTTAATATGCAAAGATTGCTCAATGTACAAGATTAATCAAAGTGACATCACACACATTAACTGAATGAAAGAAAAAATCATACATGATAATCTCAATTGATAAGCAAAAGGGTTTGACCGAATCCAATATTCTTCTGCAACATAATAAATAGATTAGGACTAGAAGGAAACCTCCTTAACAATAAGGGCCATGACTAAAACACTCACAACTAAGGTCATACTCAGTGCAAGTTTTTCCAGTAAGATCAGTACCAAGAAAAGAATGCCCCGCCTACTCTATTCAACAAAATGGTGGAGTTCTATCTAGCACGAGAAAGCAAGAAAAGGAAATAAGGCATGCAAATTGTTAAGAAAAATACAAAATTACCCCATACATGCAGATAATATAGCATTATATGCAGAAAATCCTAAAGATCACACTCCACTGCCAATGAATTCAGCAAAAATATAAGATGTAAATCAATAAATAAAATCAACTGCATGTTTTCCAAACATTAACAATAAAAACCAGAAAAGGAAATTAATAATCCCATTTATATTTACATCAGAAACAGTACACAGCTAGAATTAATTTAATGAAGGTGAAAAAAAGATTAGTATGTTAAGAAATAAGATAACCTGCAGAAAGAAATTACAGAGGACTAACGGGAAGGCATTCTATATTCACAGACTGGAAGACTTACTGTAAGTTAGTTGGGTGGGCAAAGCCCCCTGAGACAGTAGATGTCAGAGAAGGTGTGGGTGAAGTTTATTGGAGGGGAGATGAAAAACGACAGGATGAAAGTTACCAACTGGGAAAGACGTGCATCCTAACATTGTTACCCCTAAGCAAGTAGAGGGGAGGAGGCAGTCCTTCCTGGGTTATATTAGGAATAAAACCTCCCCTGAGGGTTTTCAAAACTTCATTTGGGAGAAGTGTGGCTGTAAAGGTAGCTTTGCAAAGACTATTTTGTGAAGCCAGGTGGGACCAGAGACTCTGACACCTGGTGAGGAAGAGGAAAGGAAGCAAAGTCAGTAGAACTTGAAGAAGCCTGACCATCTCAAAGAATTCTTCTAGAAAAAGGACAAAAAGAAACTCATCTGACAGCTCAGACTACGCACTCGCACTCGGCAAGAGGTCCAGGCACACATTCAGACTGCAAGGAAGCAAAGGGTAGAAAAGGCAACAGCAGTACAAGAGCCTTAAGGAGTGACAGGAGGAGGAGCAGAGCCGATGGGTGAGAGATTAAGGAGGCAGCAGGCCTGTGCTAGAAGCCCTGGCTCCTGAAAACTTCATGTGGCCTCCTACTCCACTGAGTACTCCTTTGCTGAGTACTCCACTCCTACTCCTTTGCTCCCATGGGAGATGGCTTTTTTTTCTCTGCAAGTTGAAAAGCAACTGCTTAGCTGTTATTGTTTCCTTATTACTCCTGGTTCCTTTGCAGTGATCCCAGCAGTGCAGCCATTCATTCACCCAACTTCCTTTATTCATGGAAGAGCCTGTTGCCCTCCCCAGCTGCCACTGCCTGGGCTGAACTCCCACCAGGAGTCTAGACTAAATCCACAGGTCCTGTTGTGGAGTTACATAAGGCTGTGTTTGGAAACAGTGATTTGCTCCCTTCCCGTTGGTCTGACTTTGGCCAATTTGTGGGTAGCCTGTGGGATCTAGCACAGGGACAGAAAGTGACCGGCAACAGAAAGGAGAGCACTTTTTCTGCTCCCCAATACCATTCTCCTGTGCTAGAAATGACAGCCAGAAACCATAACCAGCAGCATTTGCAGTGTGGTTAAGCTGGTGTATGACAGCTCAACAGACCACTGTACCAGCAATCTAACCCAAGATCATTGCTCTCTGTATTTGCTATCACGTGAATCAGCCGGTTCCTCCTCAGATCTCTGCTTAAATTCGTGGCAGAAAAAGAAAGGAAAAACCACTACCTAGAACCCTTCAGAAAGGGTACTGGCAACATCTAACTACTGTGACTTACAGCTTTTGATCAAGATGTAATTTCAACCACATTAAAAATACATATTAATAATATTGTTAACAATTGCAAAATATCTGGAGTAACTCATGTGGTGATAGAGACAGCCTGAGTAAAGATGGTACAATTTCTGCACAGCTAAAAAAAAAAATGGTCTACGGGATGATTTTTAGTACATATTGGTAAGTGAAAAATGCCAATGCAAGAGAATACTGCTGCACTCATGTTAAAAAAGGATGGTTGACATCAAACATCCTTATTCAAACATACCCACGTGTCTGTCATGAAGGCCTACACAGACTAAGAGCAGCAAACCAAGAATGAGGGGATGAGGCTGGGGCAGCTGAGAGGACACGGCATATACTTTTCAAATCTTATTATGTAACTCAGGGAACAAGAGTCATATCCAAAATAAAAGCAATTTAGAGTGACCATGGTGTGACAGGAGACAACAAATATAAACAGTCTCAAAATTGATCTAAGCATATTATAAGTAAGTGACATGACCACATGGAGAGAGGAAAATAGTCAGATTAGGGAACTGTTTTGACAGTAATGCTAAAAAGAACTGCACATAAACGAAATACTCTGATAGGAAGTAAATCACAGGGATAGGGTTAGTAATCCTGTAATTATGTGTATAATAGGGTAGAACAATTTTTTTTTATATAATTAGGGTTGCATTTCTCACTACAAGAAAAGGACCCCTGGAAATGTGAATGGTTCTAGGGTTGTCTCAAGACAGTGGTGCCAGAAAGCAAAGGATTAAAAAATAATTGCGTACACTTATACAAGAGGCAGTCTTGAGAAACTCCTAATGACTAAAGCTTGATCTCTAACCAATAAAATAACATATTATGGAAAAGCAGCATTATAACGCAACAGAATAATAACATGCTTATGAACTCACACTGATTTAAGTAACTGAATAAAGTGAAGCTAAGCTGGCTCTTATAAGAGCATTCTAATAAATACATGTAGAAAGGATCATGGAACTTGAAAATTACTAATAACTATACAGGTAGAAAGCACCAATGACTACTAAAACAAATGAGGGAAAGGCTACTCGCACGACCTCAAAGAAAAGTGACTTGACAGTGCAGACAACCTTTAGACGGCCCCTTAATGAAAGGACTGAAGTTCATGTCACTAGCAGTAGGTCAGTCAGTACTGTGGACTCCTGCCTCACTGACAGGATATACTGAGAAAGCCACAGCGTTTCTATGGTGTTCCTGACAGCAACACATATCCTTAATGGAATCCATATGAAAACATTAGACACAAATCAAACTGACGAATATTTGCACTAAGTAACTTCTTCGAGCACTCTTCAAACACATCAGTATCATGAAAGACTGACCACCAAAGACAGAGGGGCGCAGGGACGCAGGACACCGAAAAGCAATGTAGGAAATACCACTGGTAGGAGTGGCGATATCTGAATCAGATCCACCGATTAGGCAGGGACACTGTATCCACGCTAACTTTGCAGTTTTGCCGTGATTTTGCCAAGACACAGAACTCTAAGGGGAATGTAAGCAAATACATATGAGAATGCTACAATTTTTATGACTTTCTGAAAGTTTAAAACTTAAAAATAAAGTTAAAGAAAAGAGCATATTTAAATTTGGGGGGACTATGATTTGGTATGTTCATAATTATTTACCAAGCTGAACAAATATTTCTAATTATTATTTTTACATCAGATAATCTTGAGGAAGTGTCTCTACAAATGTGTAATTCTTTTCATTTATTTGCACCTTTACAATGAGAAGTGTAGTGATTATTTTTAACCCATGATAGAGAACTCCTTGAGAACACTCAGATGCCTACCTCTTCTGTAACTTGTGGTTTCACCACGTTAATGTTCACTAAGTATATTGTAATTCAGTAAAAATTATGTTAATATTTCAATGATACATGAATTAGTTACTTACGCTCAATAAAGGAAGTAAAGAGCATTCTAAATCTGCTAAGCCGGCTGCCTTCATCTGCCCACATCCGTATCACTCCAACTCCTGTTTTAAGCATCACGTCATTGGCCACAGTGCTGCAAAACTTAGCCTTCAGATTTTCAATAGAACTGCTTCCATCATAGACTGCGACAAAGTTTCTCTTGCATTCATTCGAGTGCTCCATTTGATAATCTAAGAACCTCAAATAAATCTGTAACATTAAAACAGAAATACTGCTTCAAAAAAAAGATCATTTGGGTTTTTCTATTATCCGGTCAAAATGATAGACTGAATACTATAGCTGAAAGAAAAACATAATAGACAAAAGGCTGAAGCCTCAGTAGTTAATAGAACTAAAAAATTGGTTCTTTCATAATGAGAACAACCATGAAGGAACTGGAGTTCAGTGTTTTTATTATAAAGACAGATAACTTCTTGCTCCAGTGAGGCATAACTAGACTACGGATTTCCCTTTTGCAAAAAAAATTTCAAGCGCATTCAGCTAGAGGTTAAGACGCAAATTAAAAGGCCTAAGTGATTGTGTCTGGGTTTCATTCCTGGCTCTGGCTCCTAAGCAGCTTCCTGAAGCTAATTTAGAATCTAGAACGTAGTGGTGATGACCCAAGTCATCGAGTTCTTGTTGCCCACATGGGAGACCTGGATTCAGCTGCTGGCTCCCTGGATTGGTTCCAGATTTTTTCCTTAGGAGAAAAAGCAGCCTCATGGTACCAACAAAGAACTGTCACTCATAATTCTATCAAACAGTGTGACTAAACAGTGAGCTTCTTTCCAGTGTGTACATTTTAAAATTTGCTGTTACACACCCAAAGTGTTCTTTTTGCAATCTATACTCTGGATAGCCATATGCACTCCTAGGTTGTCCTCAGGATAGAATTCCTGTTTTATACCTCCTTTGCTCAGAGATTTTACTCTTTAAGTAATTATGTCAACATTTCAGACAAAATATGAACTATACCATCCAAATAAGTATTATCAGCACAGTCTTTACACTTTACAGACATTTGGCTACTTAGCACTAAGATTTCTTAAAATATATTAGTCCATTCTTGTTTGCAGATTTCCTTTGCATGGTGGGCTTACAAGGACTTTAAGCATTAATGTCTGGAAGAATCTATGAAGTCACGTCATGATTTATAGGTACAGAGACTCAGCCATGTCACTGGGTTATTAAGGCAAGCATCTGAGTTCAGATTGGTCTAATTGCAAAGCATGTGTTATTCCCAATGTATAGTGTGTCTTAAACATTGACATGTCATATTCTCCAGTTGCTCATATGTGACTCTGCAATTTAAAGAAAATTATGAGTACAGAATGAAGATTTTCTCTGAATTTCACTTGGTTGAGGTAGCAGAATGCCACCTCCATCCTTTCAGGTGCTATATAAAACAAAAAAAAGTCATGTCACAGGTTTTTCTTTTCTAAAATACTTTGATGGGAGAAAACTAAAAGCAATTAATTAACAAATACAGTTCAAACAGTTAAGTTTATTGAAATGACCAGTTTTCCACTTTCATGAGCATGATGAAAAATGGCTAATGAAATAAGATTTTCATTTAAAAACTACAAAGTTCATCAGGTATATATTTTAGCATAAACGTGTTTATATATAAATACCATATTTATGTACATATTTACCACTGACTCTCATTAACTTTTCAATTATTCTGTAATCAAACCACTCTGCTCATGGTTCTATGATAGTGAGCCATCACTTACACTGTAATTGTTTGCCTTCCCCATTACATTATAAGGTCTTCCAACAAGATTACAAGTTAAATTACCTCCCATACAATTCTTGCTTATAGAAGGTAATGAGTTAGTGACTGGATTTGTAAAATTGAATTGGCAGAACCAGGTATGGCCAGTCAAGTATTTACTTCCTGCTTTTATTTCAACAGCAAGATATGTACTCTTCAAAGATATATATATATTATATTACATATATAAATATATATATATTTAAAATCGAGACTTAAATATAAATCATGTGATAAGAATGGCATTCTTTCCTATTATGAACCAGTTAATAATTCAATCAATTTTCAGAAAACATTTTCAGAAATGAAACCCTCAGAAAGTTACCACTGATAAATGGACTACAATACTTGGCTACCCTGCATTGTCAAAACACCGACATCTTTTTTAAAGAGTATTTTTCTTGAACATCATCCATTAACTGTTTCATCTCATTTTGAACATCTGAAAGTTATAACCTGTAACATTTTTTATTTAAAAATTTAAAAACCTTTAAAATTTAAAATGAAAATTCACTTAATAAAATCCAATAACATTCCCATGTCAACTGTGCATCAAATTTTAACTATCAATCTTCAAAAATCAGCATTCTCCAGCAGTCAATACTTGAAATATCTCCAATTTATATAAATATGGAATTATTTCTTCACAAATACTTCAATGAAGAGTAAGAAGATCTAAGAAACAAGGTTTAAGTTCATTTTAAGTATTTAATTCTAGCATTGCTAACGTTCTCTATTTTCCCAATATTCTTCCCAATTACCTATTTTGCATGATTTTTAAATTCCTGTACCTTTTGCAATTTTAAGAATCTTTAAAATCACAGTATTTTGAAATAGTTTATATTTTAAATTGCATCAGTTATAGAAAGACATCATCATTTGCACATTCTCCTAAGAGTTGCCTGGCTTCCTTCTGCCTTCAAGACGAATCTTCGGTAAGCATTCCTGCAGTCTCCTTACACACACAGGCTTACACTCTGTGGCTGCGTTGCAGCACATTATTTTCAGCTTTGCCAAAGAACATCAAACTACTTTCTAAAGTTGTAACAAATTTACAGCTCAAGCAAGAATTCCATTGAAAGGATTCCATTCCCCTCTGCAGCGTCCTCTTGTGCTGCTCCTGCGTAGTCAAAATCACTTGCAGTCTCCATTACACAGCTACTATACATCCCCTTAAATAAAGAGCCACAAAAACAAACTCAACATCCGGGAGAAAAAAGAAATTAACAACACCAAGAAGTTAAACAACATGCTATTAAATGACTAACGTGTAGCTGCAGAAATGCAAATCAAGAACCTTCTTGAAGAAAATGATGCCACTGCATGATCTACGAGTCACTGGATGATTTAATCAGAAGAAAGTGTTTTGAAGAGATGAAACCAACAAAACCCATGTGATATAGTTTCCGCTGATCTTTGTAGAGCTGTGTCTTCTCCAGACAAAAAACAGATGGGTTTTGTTTTTTCATCCAGTCTACTAATCTATGATGTTTGAGCTTAAGCCATTTACATTTAGGGTTAATATATATGGGTGGTACTTTGGTCCTGTCATTTTAGGAATGGGTTGTTCATTGTTTAGTCCTTTGTTGTCATTTTACTGGGATGTTCTTCCCATTTGCCTTGGTTTTGTTGGGTGCTATTCCTCTTCTCTGTCAAGAGAACATCTTGAGGTATCCTTTGTAGGGCAGGTTTGGAAGAGGCAAATTCTTGTAACTTCTTTACTCTGGAAGAATTTTATTTCATTTTCAAAGATGAAAGAAAGCTTTGCTGGATATCTTATCCTAAGCCGACATGTCATTTAACTTCATGGCATCGTAAATTTCTATTTTTCTTTCTATTGTTGATTTTGTATTATGATTTTTCATTTAAGGGGATGTACAGTAGCTGTGAAATGGAGACTAACATCCAGATGTGAGGATGCAGTGTAGTATGTATTTCTGTTCCCAGACAAAGATGGACTTACAATGAAACTGTTTACTATATCTTGACAATAGGATTCTGGACTCTCTACCATTGTCCAAGCCTGCAATGATGGACATATGACTGAGTATGAAGAACTATATGTTAGTAATGATATAAAGGAACTAGGTGGGGGAGGAGGGAATTGGGGAGGGGATAAGGGAATATGGAACTGTATCATAAAATGATAGCAATAATAATAAAATGTAAAAAAAAAACAGGAAGAACAACAGTATCAGGGCTTCATATTGATGTACCCAAGTATGTGCCAATTTGCCGCAATGAATTTGTGTTCCATACAAATCTCTATTGATGTCATATTGCAAAATCATGTTACCCCTGACAAAACAGCAACTTGATATTAAGTTAGTATCCCTCCAGATATTATTTTTTATATAAAGAAAGGAAATAGAAAAAAAAATCACTTCCAGCCTTCATCCCTGGTGACCACGGTCTGATTCCTGTCCCACAGCTGTCACCTAACTCAAAGAATCACATATTTAACCTTTTTGGAGTCTAGATTCTTTCACCTGGTATGATATATTTGATAATTTATTTTTATTGTTGACTGTATTTCACTATATAGATGTACCAGTTTATTTTCTCAATAGTTAAATAACTGGATCGCTTCCAGTTTCTAGCTAGTAAACATTTACATAAGGGTTCCTTGTGTGAACACCAGTTTTCTTTTTTCCTGTATCTATGTCCAGAAAAGACTGCCGAGTCATATGGTACTTTCATAGGAAGCCAGATGTTTCGCAGAGTGGCTAAATGATTTTACATTGCTGCCAGAAATGTATCAGAATCTCATTTGCTTTACAGTTCCCAGCACTTGGTGTTAATTTTCTTAAAATTATGCTTTTTTTTTTAAACAAAGGGGATATATTGTCACAAGATTATTTTAATTTGAATTTCATAATGACTAAATCTTTGGTGAATGCCAGTCAAAAGCCCGCCCATTTAAAAACTGATCTTTATTCTGAGCTTTGAGTTACGGACACACAGCAAATTTGCAGATGTTTTCTCCCAACGTAGGGGGTTTGTCTTTTCAAGAAGCAGCTATCTTTCACAAAGTTCTAAGAAATGAGTACAATTTATACATTTTCTCTTTATGGATGTCCCTTTGGTGTAATATCTAAGAACTCAAATTCAAAAATTTTCTTGTAAACATTTAATGGGCCTGACTCGGTGGTCTAGCAGCTAAAGTCTTCACCTTGAATGTGCCGGGATCCCATATGGGCGCCGGTTCTAATCCCGGCAGCTCCACTTCCCATCCAGCTCCCTGCTTCTGGCCTGGGAAGGACAGCCCAAAGCCTTGGGACCCTGCATGTGTGTGGGAGACCTGGAGGAAGTTCCTGGTTCCTGGCTCTGGATCAGCTCAGCTCCGACCACTGTGGTCACTTGGGGAGCGAATCACTGGAAGGAAGATCTTCCTCTCTGTCTCTCCTCCTCTTTGTATATCTGACTTTGCAAT